GGGGGGGGAGAGAAGAAGTAAGGCTAAACAGTGGCACTCTCTTACCCCATGTACAAAGATATATACTGTTTTAAATGAAATCTCAATTGCAGAATAAGTTACAAAACTGTGACCTATGATCCACTGCAAGCTGACGTTTCTGGTTATTGGTTCTGCCTCCGATGTGTGAACAGTGACCAAACGCTATAGACAACAATAATATAACGTAAGAGTTTTTTGTACGTATATATATATACTGTCTGATTGTGTTCTTCGGCCAATTTTACGATTTGGAAATAAAATTCTTATATATAACAAAGAAACCCATGTATTCGTTCACTTTTATACATGTTTTATTGATTGGTTGGAGTGTACGCGCAGAAAGCCTTTAAAAGAAAATTAACACATTTTAAACCTCTTCACTGCTGCGTCAACATGTGTCCTCGCTTGTGTTCTCCAAGACTGATTGCTCTAGTGTGGTTTGCTCCTTCTTTCCTATCAAACATCTGTCGTCCTGGTCTTTCCTGCTTCTTGTTTGTGCGTGTCTCTCTTGTAACACCTCTACTAACCTTCGGCACTTGTATGACCTATTGTGTTGCAAGCGCCGTAAAGCTCTTACTAAATCTAAACTGGGAAAAAATGATTCTACTGGCTTATAGGAGAAGTTTCAGGACATTGTCCTACAGCTTGGGCAGTGGCGTCAGTAGCCCAGTGGTTAGGCTACCGGACACGTAATCGTGATATTGTAGTTTCAGGGGTTCGAGCCTCAGCTTGGTCCGACGTTGTGTCCTTTGGAAAGACACTTTACACGAATTTCCCTTTTGGCTCAGTCCTTTCGGAGATGGACGTTAAACTCAGAGGTCTCGCCTCTTAAATTATAACCTTATAGTACTGATAGTGTCGTTAATCCTCTACCATTTCATAATTTGCACAGACTGGGCAGTTGCTTAATATTCTTAGAAGGGCAGATGTTAAGGCTTCGTTGAGAGCTCTCGGGAGCAGACATTTTATCCAGTCAGTACATGTACAAACTTAGATGGAAAAATCTCAGCAATGAAGGTGTGAAAAGGCAAAAAGTCAACTACACAAATTTCAGCAACACTTTGAACGCACAGAATCTAATCAATGGGACGTCAAGAAATATGTTATCATAAAGAAAACATCTCGGATGTTCGAGAAGCATCAAGTTGTTAATATTTCAACCTAAATTGAATGAGATGTAAAACTTTATAAATAAATCTTTTTAAAATCAATCATAACGTGTGTTTGTACATCAAAGAACAAATTCATTTAAAACTGGCTCAGCCGAACAAAGTCAAAGAAGGTGGTTGCTATTTAGATTATACGCTCCAGGGGATAAAAATTTCTTGGATACGCCGCTGGAAATTTTGAAAAACCCTGTACCTGTATCTTGGTTGATTCTTTGGGCTTCCGGCACAAAATTGGTCGCTTTTAAGCACAAGTGGACTATCCCGAAAAATGCTGTTTTGAGAAAATCGAAGGTAAATTTTTGCCCCTTTTTCAGTTTCTCTAAAAGACAAGGAGAGTTTTCTCTATAACAAAACAAAAATACAAACCAACGAAACTAAACTTCTCCTATAGGTAGGGCAATGTCCACTTTTGGTGTAGGTCAAGATTTCTGGAAACCCCCGAAATCTGGGTTCGCCCGCTTGTCCTTAAAAGCGACCAATTAAGCTTCAGTTCTTCGATTGTTTGTGAGTTGTTTCGGAAGACTCGACTGTCTTTCAAAAACTCCAGAAGGGAAAAATTGTACTTTGCTGAATTGGTAATCTTTTTTTAGGTTGCTGTTGTTGTTGAGGATTTTTTAACACATTGTCAACGGCAATGTCATGATTTCGTGCGAAGGACATCAGTCGACCGGAGTCTGTGGTGTAGCGGTTGGGTGCTTCGCCGTCCCACGCAGAAGACCTGAGCTCGATTCCTGCGAGAGGAGAATTTGTATTAAATATCTCGGCATTTCTCCGGGGAAGTTGTATCCCTCTCATTTTCAGCTCGGGTAGGTCCTGACAGGTAGGATCGAAGCCCATCTCCTAAATTATGGTCTAGTTCATGTCGATTTTTTTAAGGGGCATGGTGGGGTCTAGATTTGCGTCACTTTCATTTTCATAAGCTGTATTTACATTCACATGTATATGACTATTCATTTATGATGATTTTTTAAAAGTTTATTTCTTTTCCTTTTTCGGGGGGGGGGGGGGGGCAGATACATGTATTGCCATAGTAGCAAATCATATTTCGACAGTGCTTTCTGGTGAAGGGCTATTTCAATTCTCAACGGCACCGTTAGCCCGAAGACGTCTCCCTCAACGCGTCCAACATCGTTTTGTAAAAAGGAACTTTATCCAGTCTGGGGAACTTCTGGAGTGAAGCTTTTGAGTCGATGTTGAGTAGGGCGGGGTTGCTGCTCGTGAACGGTTCCCACTGAAGTACTTCGCCATTGTTCTCGACTCGTGTCGCAGTGGGGTTTCCCGTTTTTACAAAGTTTGAGACAACGCTTTCTGTCAACAATGCAACAGATCGATCGGCCGGATCAGTGACTCGGTTCTGTAGAATTGCAATTTCTTCGTAGTGCGAAACTCCTTCCCAGGCTGGAGTGACTGTGTCGCTTGCCCTGTAACTAAACTGATATAGATAATGCTTCCCTGAGTTTGAACCCCACAAAGACTGCTCAATTTCCATCACAGCTGGTGCAGCGAAAAGTGTGTCCAACAGCGCATCAAATAATTGGGTGCGAACTGCTATGGGATCAGAGGTGTTGCCTAGGTAAGAATTTGAGACGATGTTAGTGATGTAACTACTGTTTTTGTAGGCGTAAATGCCTTGGAACTTCTCGTAATCTGGCTTGAAGTCATCCCTTGAAATACCGTCGTCATCTGGATCGTATATGAAATATGGCCACTCGCCTGATGCGAAACCTCGGATTGTGTCAACTCGACTAAAATTGCCACTGAGAAAGATATCCAAGGGGTCTTTGGGAAGAAATCCGAACGTATTCTCAACTCTTGGTGATGCCAGAAATTGTACCCCTTTGTGTTTTTGCACTTCAAATGTAGCATTACTAATTGCATTAGCATTTGCATTTTGCAGACATATAAACATCTCTTTCGAGCTAGACTCTGTACAACCCACTTCCTTTCCTAACAAAGTCGTGAATTCTTTCAGGCTTACTTTAGTCCCCGGTCTTTCTACAGTCCAGGGACACAGCGAAAAACCACTCATCATGATGGCTCGCTGGAACAAACCCACAGACAAAGGAGACAAGACGTGAAAGGACACGGAGGCAGATCCAGCGCTGTGACCAGCGATAGTAACGTGACTAGGGTCTCCACCAAAGACGTGGACATATTTCTGCACCCATTTCAGCGCCAGCAACTGATCCAGCATGCCATAATTCCCTGGCATGACGTCATCGCCTGTGGACAAAAATCCAAACGGTCCGAGCCTGTAGTTCATGGCTACTACCACGACGCCGGTAGCGGCCATACTGGACCCATAAGCCTTGTAAGCTCCGCCTTGGAGGAACGCCCCTCCGTGTATCCACACCATGACGGGGTAGGATGAGGAGGAGGAGGACCCGTTCACGCCCGGGGTGAGCACATCCAAAAATAGACAGTCCTCTGATTCATTCGTGCCAGGCTTTGGGGTGATACTCTGAAGGCATCTTGGGGCTTCGTGCAGAGCATATTTGGTCCCTGACCAGCCCGCGGACTCCACCGGTGCTTTGAAACGTCTTTGACCTGAGAAAATCATAATGGTGAATGTGGATAGAAAGCGGAGGAATGCATTTTAGTGTAGAGATGAAAGTGACGGGGGGGGGGGGGGCATAAGACATGAGCTTTTGCTGGTCTCTTAAGTGACGTAGAGAGGGAGAGGTTGAGAGAGAAGTGGGATGGGGGATTAGAGGGAGGGGAGGGAGGTCTGGGAGAGGAGTAGTGGTTAGAGATAGAGTAAGAGCTAAAGCGATAGGTACAGAGAGAGAGAGAGAGAGAGAGAGAGAGAGAGAGAGGGTAGAGAGAGAGAGAGAGAGAGAGAGAGAGAGAGAGAGAGAGAGAGAGAGAGAGAGAGAGAGAAGGGGAGAGACTAACACAAGATTACTTTCGAAACATTTAACAATTTGGAAACCATTTTATCATAAACCAAACCATATCTATCGTTGTTCGTATTTTCCACCAATTACCTTGTCTTTTTTCTTTAAACGACCAATACAAAATACCTTTCAGGAAGTGCGGGTTCCAAATACGCATGTCACATAAAAATTTAAAAAAGTAACCAAAACTTAACACTCACCAGTCGGGGGTTCAGCATAAGGAATTCCTCGGAAAACGTCGATCTTTCGGCCATCTTTCAACGTCTCTCTGGTTCCCCTAATCTCCTGTCCATGGTTCATCAGAACGCTTACATAATTGCTTTGTGGAATCACAGCTTCGACAGCGCCTGCAAGAATGAACAGTGGGAAGAGGCACATGAGGATGGGACGTTGATTTTCTCGGATTCCTTTGTCCATTGTGCTTGAAAACCAAGTTGATTAATGACTGTTCAGGCTACTGCCTGAAAGCTTTCAACATTTTTAAATATCTATCGCAATGCAGTGTCAAAAAGTGGCGCTCGACTCAAAGTCAAGTGAAAACCTTCTGAAAATGAGGTGATACAATAATGAAAGTTCCGGATTTTTAAAAAAATAGGAAAACAAAACAAGGCCAACTGTAGATTTGACAGTAGTGAAAGATAACGTGAAGCAGTCAACATTCAACAGGTCATGTCTGCCTAGAGTTCCAGATAATGCAGTACTTAACTTTAGGTGAAGTTTTCATTTTATCTACTGTCTCTTTCTCAGGCGTCAAGAATGCTTTTTACCATTACATTCCAAGCACACACTGAGGAGAGATAGAGGGATGGGGGAGTGAAGAGAGCGAGACAGGGCAGTGAAAGAGAGAGAGAGAGAGAGAGAGAGAGAGAGAGAGAGAGAGACAGCGGAAGAGAAAGAGTGAGAGAGAGAGAGAGAGAGAAAGAGAGAGACAGCGGAAGAGAAAGAGTGAGAGAGAGAGAGAGAGAGATCCATATTCACTGAAAGCTTGACCGACTTAATTAATTATCTACAGAACAAAAGGAAGGCTATTTTTAGTTTACGTAAGCGTTTTAGATATTAGGTTCGTCGATGATGAGAGACTTTCCACAGACTGTTTACGACAAAGATAAGAACATTGGACATTAATCTGAATATCTTAAATAACGAGAGCAGAAAACTACAACAGCAACAAAAAAGTTGCTGTTAAAAAGAAACCACGAACACTGAAAAAAATAGCGGAATTTATTTAAATACGAAGGCCAGACAATAAAAAGTTTGGAGGAGAGAACAGAAAATGGGGTGAATAGAAGAATACATAAAGGTTTGGAATTGCAAGATCTAGAGAAATATCCGGGGATCAAAATCTGCAAATATTACTAAAATGACAAAATCTTAATCAGTGCCTTGTCCGTGTAATAAGTTATGGATGTCAAACCTAGCCAGTTATTACAAGGATTTAGATTGTGTTCGCAGGCGGACTTCAACCCTGCCAGTCAAGGGCAAACCGGGCTGTGAGGGCTACAATATCCCAGCTGTGAGACCAAGATACTCGATCAAAATTCTCTCCTCTCGGGAATCAAACTCAGGTCTTCAGGGCGCAACGGCGAAACATTTAACCACAAGAACATAGACACCGAGATCTGTTCCTTGAAAGTTTGTTTTTTTAACAACCCAAATACAAGAACGTCTCATATCGTCACCAAACTGTTAAAATGTGTTTAGTCGAGAAAGTAAAATTTTACTGGAGAGAGAGAAAAAAAACTGTTTCCATAGTACAAACGTGACCCCTACTACTACTTACATGCCAAATAGAGCAGACCAGGTCACAATCTTTCGACTCCACTGTGGTCACAACAGACCCAAACACCAAATGCACACTAAATTAAAAGTGGGAGAGTCCGCGACCTACGAATGCGGACACGACCAAGAGGATGCCAGCCATCCTTCAGAACTTTTCGCGCTAAGCCACCCTCCGTACACAGACCTGGCAGAATGTGACTCTTCTTGAGAGAAAACTCAAAGGCAGTCTCTCAGATTTGAATCGGAGTACACAGTTTGTGCTCGACATCGAAGAAGAAGAAGAAGAAGAAGAAGAAGAAGAAGAAGAAGAAGAAGAAGAAGAAGAAGAAGAAGAAGAAGAAGAAGAAGAAGAAGAAGAAG